GTGAACTTTAATTTGCTTTGTTTATAGAATGGGAAAGGGGAGGCGAAAATAAGAGAAATAAGGGAAATATAGGGAAAATAAATGAAAATAAAGGGAAGAAATAGGGGGGTGTAGGTTTAAGTGTTATGATGTACTTGGCTTAAAATTTAATCTGTGATGCAATGGTTTGATGGTGATGTTATGTTTGTGATGAGTGTTGCTTTATGATGCTAATTATATTGATTAATGTTGAGATGATGCATGATGCTAATAACACAGGTGGTTGCTCATAATATTGTAAAAACATATGCATGATGATTTCAATTGTGATTAATATGTTGGGCAGGATGTTTATCAAATTGTGGAACTTATGTTAACCTGTGAGAGGACTAGGCTCAGGATTTTGATTAATTGAGTGCTATTACTTTGGAAGCATGATTGATTTTGCCTAATTTTCTATGATTCAACCACTTGCTAGCTTTTTACAAATGATCAAGGCCATGTTTTTCTTCTCCCTTAGAGCCAATGTATAGTGAACCTAATAAAGATCAATGTTTCTCTAACCTCTGCACCTTGAGCCTAAATTTGAAAAATGGAAAAAACCCTTTTTGAAATCCTTACCTTGAGTTAAGCAAAGAGTATGTGTTTGTGGTATGGAGAATGGTCAAGTTTGGCGCGTCGTGGTGCGACACGGAAAGAACTTTGTGAAATTTATCAAAGAGCATTGAACAAAAGCAAAAAGCAAAAGAAAAGGAAAAGAGAAGAAAAGAAAAAAAAAGAAAAGGTTTAGCTCAATGAAAGGAAAGTTGGGAGTAAGTTGAAGATTTGGTTTCTCACATAAAAGGAGAAAGAGAGATTATGTTAATGTGAATAAATGAATGGCACACTCTCTTACTCAAGGATTTTGTTGTCTAGAAAAACCAATTTTCTTCTTTGTCCAGCCTCAATACAAGCCTTAAAAAGTCCTTGTGATGATAACTTGCTTGTGAGTGTGTTTGATATGTGGTTAAATGGAAGACAAAGTTGATTCATGTGACATTGTGATGGTAGAGTGGTAAGATTGCTACCTCAACTATTACACCTTTGAGTGAGTGAAACACTTTTGAGTGCTTGAGTGAAAACACTGTTTTGGTGGGAATTGTTCATGCTTTTCATGATAAACATCTTGCTTGTTTGTTGATTTATAATGAGGTTTGCATCTATGTGATATTTCTTGGTTACGTGAGCACCATAGTTAAAGCTGATTGGCTAAAGCATCATTATATATTGACTAATCTCATGATAAAGAAAAAACAGAGCAGATAGCTAATTAACCAAAAGTACATTCTTGATTATTCTTGTAAAGTTTTACTATTAATCAAAGTACATTCTCAATTATTGACAAAACTCATTCCAATCATATGAAAGTTTCTAACGTTATCGAGATTCTCAACTAAAATTAAAAATTCATTTGACTCATATGATTGATCTGTTATGAGATTTGACACCTGCTAAATTGCAATAATGTAAAAATCATTACTTATACTGATTAAAAAGCAAAAGACGTGGATAAAAATAAATCACACAAGAATCAAAAGAAGAAACAAATTTATTCATCTAACCTCATAATCCAGTTAAGAAATTACTAACTCAATTAACCCGAGAGGCTTAACACTTCCCTAGTGTGTTTTCCTAAGTTTCTTTATATAAAATTTGGATTGGACTTGTTTTAGGTTTTTCTACTATTGTAATCTTCTTTATGATAATGTAATTTCCTCTAATTATCTTCTAAATAATCCAATATCTTCAAAATATATTTGATTTTTGTGGAGATCCAAAAATATTTGAGAAGATATATGCTAGATTAAAAAAGATTCGGTAAATATTATCTTTGATATTTATTGATATAGTTAAATAAGGTAATTATTTAACAATATCAAAGAATATTCGAAGTAGATTTTTTTTCAAATTATTTTAATCATAAACACTCAATTATCAAAGCCCTTTTAGTAGAAAAATATAGAGAAAACGGTAAGATCCAATTTTTGTTGCATCTTACATTTTCTTGGCTTAGCTAAATTTCTTCACTTTTTCATCCAACGCTTGGATTAATTCCTCGTGATCTTGATTATTTTTCATTCTTGGATTTATCATTAAGGTGTCATGAAACTTTAATCAATTTATTTTCACATCTCAATGAGCTCAACTTAGCTGCAGCTGCACTAACATACATCAAAATATCCATAAAATATTTATGCAACTAAAAAGTTATTTTTAACATGTTTTTGTATCTCATGCTAAATAAACTCAATTATAACAAATCCTATTAAAATATCTTACTAAGTACCAAAAAACAATTAGAATCTAATATTAAAAGCTGAATGAGGGTATAAATATGTACTCATCAACCAACTCATAAACTTTCGTTAAGCGGAAAGGGTGTCATTGACTGCTATAGGACATCAGCATTGTCTGTTTTCCAATGTCAATCAATGTCTTTTTTATCTTCCGACATTAAATTAATGTCTCCTAATATAATGCTGGTGTTTTTACATATGTTAAAGATCGAAAATAACAAGTGAAAGTTGTTTTTTTACCTGTGAATGTTTTAAATTGTAAATGTGTGATAATATAAATAATAATGTGATAGACATGCGTTAAACCTTGATTTATATATGATTTATTATGTTAATTCACATTTATACTTTTATCTCATATTTCTATTATGATTATATGTAATAAAAAACAATCAAATAACTTTTACACGTAGAGACAAAAATTCTAAAGCAAAACTATGAATTATATATATTTTATCTTCTTTTGGATATAGATATGAGAATCTAATATTTTTTATCATATATATATATTGTGTATAAATAAATCATATCCAATAAACTAATATATATAATATTAAACTGCAATATTATGGAAGAAAACAAATTACTAGTGAAAGACAAATAACGTTTAATAAAGTACATTACAACTTAGAGTTAACTTTACCTGTAAAAGACCACCTTTAAATATTCATTTAGAATAATAATCATTCAAGAAATAATGGTGAATGTAAGTAATATTTCTTTTATGATGGTTTAGTTTTTCAAACTAAAACTAAATAATGTTTTGGTTTATATTTTAATTAAAAGTAGTTTGTTCCATACAGTGAATCATGCAAAAGAGAAAATAGCTTAAGATTATCATATTCAATTTTTGTGAACAATGTAAATCATTTTCAGTATAAATTGAACTAATAGTGAGTTTTAAACAGTATTAATGCTTGTTTAAGATTGCATAGCTGGATTTGGTCACTTCTTGAATTCAATAATTATGCTAATAAATTTAGTTTTGCCTATAGTAAAGGCCTCTATATGTTTGACAAAACTATTAGTACTATAAATAGGTGCTTTAGCTTAATTATTAGTGTGAAGTGTCATTAGTCCAATCGTGTTTGTTAGCTGTCATTTTGTATATAAAGTATATATATACAAAGTTAACTATATATATATATATATATATATATATATATATATATATATTATATAATCTATATACACAAGTTAATTTCATCCAAAAACTCTTTTCAAATATATAAAAAATCAATGTTACCATCGAAATCGTACTTAATATACAGTACAAAGTTCTCTAATAGATAACGACAGTTAATAATATGGAAAATACTTTAAAAATATAAATAAACAACTATTTGGACGAGAAGCTTCTTATAAAAGATATATGCACAGTCAAATTGGCTAGAGGATATTTTAAGTGTCTTTCAATTTTCAATGGAGATTGTGCCTATGGTAAACCAATAATTAATAATAAATAAATAGTGATACTTACAAAGTTTCATCTTATTGAATAATAAATAGAGATATATTACTATTCAAATCTTGTTACTTTTTAGTGTTAAGGGCTCTTTTGTTGCCCATTTGTTCACTTATATTTTTGTGTTCAGGTAGTTAAAAAGTCAAAATAGAGTCACTGAAATATTACAGCTATTAAAAAATAAATACTCTATATTTATAAATTGCTTATAATATTAAAATACCTTTAGGAATCAAAATAAAAAAGGTTAGACCATGGTGTTAACACACAAGGAAGGTAGTTGACGGCCCCCCATTCAGTGGCATTTTTCCCCCCCCCCCGCCCGCACCCCCAGTAGGCGGCCGCGGGTTGCGTGGATAGATTCCCGCTAAGTCCTACATATGCGTCCTTTTCTCGCTCGCCCACTTGGTAAAAAAAGGAAAAACTCACTTTCATGATTTTTTGTAGTTTTTAAAACACTTGCATGAAATATGATGCAAAATGGTGATTGAGATAAAAAATAGAAAAAAAGAGTGTGATGTTCCAAAGCAAGAGAAGAGGGAAAACACAACGAATGGGTGTCTTAAAATGTGTTTGAAAAGATGAAGCATGAGTTTTTTGAAGTAAAAGCAACAAAATGTAGTATGTAGTGTAGAGGCAATTTGTATAACTTGCTTCCATATTCACTACACCTATGTTGAGTAGGTTTGATTCATTGCACCTCAACCTAACCCATGTGAGTTATATAATCCATGTATATATAGGACCTTGTACACTTCGTATTAGGTTAACTATGAGTTGTAACATTTGCGTTATCTCAAGTGAGAAGTTTGCCATGAGAGAGAAACTTACGTATTGTAATTTCTGATTTAGTAAACTTTCTCCCTCAATAATATTTCATTCAAATCACGTTTTAATTCTTGTGTATGCTTGTTCTTTATGTATCCTCCCGTTTACCTTTTATCGTTTCCGGCGCTTGCACCGTACTCAGTTTTCTGTGTGTTTGTGTTGTAGTTGATTTTGAGTGAATTTGTGAGCTATTCCACGACATATTGGTGGCTGGTCTAAGTATGGTACAGTAGAGAAGACCGAAGGATCAAACCAAAAGAACGAATTTTCTTTTCGGAAAGACCTCTCATTCTTTAAACACAGGAATTGTGACAAAAACTAGTGAAACTCTTTTTCACTACTAAAGTAGGCAATTATTTGTGACAGTCAAATTTAAACTGAACATCCTCCTCTAGTTTCAATGTCGTAATCTTATAATTGCAACCGAAATTAAATAATTATTGAGTTGCAAAGCTAAGTTCAACGATTTCACCAGTTACTCTACAAATATATTCTTTAGCTTTCATTAATCACCGCTCAGCTGAATCAATTCTCTAGCTACTTGGGCCAGCTTCATCATGATTCTTACAGCTAAACCCACTATCGTGAGGGCATTTTTCAGAGTGATGTTCTTCTTCATCGCTGTCATCTTCATCAAAGGGCCTCTCTTTATGGAAGATACAGCATTTCTTGGAACTCTTCTTCTGCATAAACTCATTGTCTACGGTGCCCTCTTTCCAACTGACCTTTTTCTTCTTGCGATTCAGGGGGAGGAAAAGTACTTCTTCAGGTTGCTGTTGGTGCTGAGATGAAGAGGTTGATGGCTCAGAGTTTTGAATTGTTATGATGGTGGTGGCAGTGATGGAAGAGGAAGACATCGCTACTGGTCTGGTGGGGTTCGTGCGTCTGTCCATGACTGTTCTCTTAGCTCAAGAGATTGGAGAGACAAAAATACTAATTTTGTGGTTGTTATGTTCCTGTTTATTCTCCTTCAACCTGCATTCAACTTAGAATATGAAATAATGTCAATGCTTAATAATCAAATTTAGTTTGACAAACTTATATGTTTCTCAAGTTTTTTTGTATGATTTTAGCGTAATGTACCAGTCGCTGCCCCATGTCCCAAAGTGCTACAACAGGATATAAAAAGGGTCAGTGTCCCTGTCGGTGTCCCCAATAAAGTGGGGAATGAAAAAGTAAAACAGAATCAAAAGAGAAACCCAATTCAATCTAAAAATGAATATTCCGTTGAATCAGTGATCCATCGACTGCATGTTCGTTTCCCTTCCCCTCTGATGTGCCGCAAATAGCTTGTTTGCACATTCTAATATTAAGAAAATAAGTGACAGTATGATTAGCTATTGATAAGTTTAGTGGTTTGATCCAAGCCTCACTTTTTAATTTTGTTAGAGCAAAATTTTACATCTACTACCTGATTTTGCTCTTCAGAAGAAGAATACCAACACTGAAAAGTGGCATAATCTATTCCTAATGTTGAAAACAATCAGCATTAAATATGATTAGAAGCAATTCCCCCCACCTGTACAAAAGGACCAAAACCTTATACATCTTAGGCAATATTTAAGGATCGCATGCTCCTATAAGGATCGGATACCCATATTCCACCACCATACAATCCTGTTATATGAAACCTTCCAAAACCAAAACAAACCTAGTACAACAATTAAATGAATTCCAACAACTTTGGCCAAATCCAAAAAAACATTTTATAAGTATGTTCATAACAAAAGGTTTCAAGATCCCGACAAATCCAATGTCAAATAATCATTAAAAAGCTCAAAACCCAAAAACATAATGTGACCAGCCACTCTTTCGAAACTCCAAATAACAAAACTTTCGAAATTCCAACAACCCTTGAATTGGTTATTGCTAAGCAAGTTACGAAAGGCATATCAGACATAACTTGATAGGTTTCTGATACCACATTGGGTCAAGAACACACCATGTTTTCACATCTTCTAACCTTTCATTTCATTTTTTAACTGGACTTTTGACAAACTTGACAAAACGCGTAGTATAAATTCTAAAGCTTTTAATATTACGAATTTACAATATTAAGAACTGTTAGACTTGTATATGTCCATTGGACAAATGGATTTAGTTTTAAAATGAGTGGATAATGGTGCAGTTTAGAATTTTGGTATATATAAATAAAACCTAAAGGGGTTATCATATTAAACAAGACTTATAAAGTATAGAGAGTATCAGAAAACTTGTGGAAGGATAAATACAACTAAAATTTAGTTTCAGCAGCCTGAAAAAACAAAAAACAACTGAATTTTAGTGTATGTTAATAATTGTGTGTTCTCCTTATAAACTAACAAACAGTAAATAAGTTTCGATATTTAACTAAGGAGAAAATAAACAAAATTTAGGAGGAAGGAATGGCCTTGAACCTGGACTAATTTGGTAATTAACAAGATCCGGCAAAAACCTCCTCAGCAAAGCACCTACATGTGACAACTGAAATAACCATTCTCAGGATCAGAAAGAGTAAAGGACAACCCAATGATGTATGAAATTAGTTTATTCATGGCTAATGTATTTGTTAAAATCTGACTAGTCACCTTTATTATAATTATCATTTCAATTACTCTTTTTTTCAACCAGAAGACCAGAAACTAAATTAGACCAACAACATGTCAATCTTTACATATAAGTAATCAAACTCGCCAGTTATAACTCGGACGACTTTACATGCTCACTCAGTGCTTCCGAATTAACTCGGAAGCAATCTCGATGAGCATGCTTCTGATTTGGCGAGTTCATGAAGATTTTTTTTAATGTAAAACGACTTATTTTTAGGCTCACCAGATTAGGGTTTTCTGATTTAGGCGCACATACGAAGCTTATCTTCTTCCTTCATCTCCTGCGATTCACCCAGCACTTTGCTCTAAGTCGCTCGCGATTTCCGTCAGCCGTCGACCACACTGTTTCGCACTCGCAGTGGGTTGCACTATTTCGCCCTCTCCTCTTTCGTCGTACTGTTTCGCACCATCTTCCTTTGGTTGTGTAAGTGAAAATAATTGCTGAAGTTGGTTGCTCTTTAATTTCTCAGACCTTTCGCTTTTTAATTTCTCGGCCACTCTCCTCTGTTTATAATTTCGAATTGTTTTCAATTGCTGCATTATTTTCTCTTTAATTTTTTATTTGCAGTAAAAATGTTAGAGCATTATTTTTAAGAATAATTTGTATAAAATTATATAATTTTTTTGGAACTTATTTAAATTAAAAAATATTATTCATTTAATTTTTTATTTATCTAAAGTAAACTTTTACGAGTTTATAACACTCACAAATTTATATAAACTCATAAATTTAACAACTTTTGCATGGAAAAAACAAATAATTTTATAAAATACTAACCAAATCAATAATTACATGTGTATGTATCAAATTAAACAGAGAATGCATAAGAGACTATTTTATTCGTATTAGAATCAATTCAATAACTTTTTATATGTAAGGACCAAATTAAAAGTTTACCCTAGTAGAGACTAATTGAGATATATTTTCCAGTACATATTTAAAATAAACAATATAAAATATAAAATAATACCATACTATTCTATAACTTATTAAAATTTAAAAAGTTTTGTAGAAATGGCATGTAACATTTACTAACCAAAAATCAGTCTCGTCCGATTCTAGTTCTATCTCTTTTCCAGAACCGTACTATCAGCCTGTGATTCCTAAAGCCCCTCCCAACAGAGGTTCTTGTTTACATGTCGCTTTTATGTCAATGTTATGATGAAAAAAATAGTTGGTGTGTTTTGCCATTCATATATCAGGAGAAAGGATTACCCTTTTTTGGCTGATTTAACTGTCAATAAATTTTCTTTGCAATCGATTTTGCCCTGTTAATATATCTTTTTCCTTACTCGCATCGAATTTGTCATAATCAACAGAAACTAATAACAAAAGTGAAACAACAAAATCAATAACATCCATTTATTTATTTAGGAGTATTTTTTGAATAATTTTCTGGGCATTTTCGCACATTTGTAAGCATCACATCTGGTGGAACAGACACCATAATCAACATATTGTATAATGTAAACAATTCGTTCAAACCTTGTTGGAAAGAATTAAAGATCTGTGCCGTATGTCCACCGTCCTACGTACTAACAGAATTAACCACTTTGTTTTGTCTCTGCACTAAATCAAACACAAGAAAGAAACAAGAATTAAAAGAATATGAAAAGGAAGGAAAATCAACAAAAACATACAGATCAGAATCTTACAAAATAATGAGAAGATCCGTACCTGATGTAGTTTGATTTAAGACGCGATCAAAGCCTCGTTCAGGATACAAGAATTTGAGACGCGAACAGGGAAAGACAGCCTACTGAGCGGCAATTGTTTTTACCATTTTAGACCATGTTCATACCCAATCCCTCTTAATTGCAACAAAATGATGAGATGTCAATTAACAAGAAATATGATAATTAAAAAAAAATAATAATACTTTCACAACATTTCTTTTCCAATATTTATCATTATTTACGTGTTATTTTGTGATTTATTCAAAATTACTTTATAATTAATAATAATAATAATACCAACATGAATCAATTACATGATATCACGTAAATGTTAAAATATTATAAAAAAATATTGTTAAAATATCATTATTTTTAAAAAATATTAAAATTGATTTATCTTTTCGACTTATTTTTTTTCAAATAAAAAATTATAAAATCAACAATTTATCTTAGGAATCTATAATGAAAAAAGATAACCCACTACCTAAACTTCGCGAGTGTCTGGGCTAGATGTTTGGAATGGGCTTGGCCTTTTGTGAACTAGAACCTTGAACAATGAAATATGGGTGTTGCTCCTTCCACCACCACTCTATACTTCTTCCACCTCCCCACATTATTTTAAATACAATTATATCCTTAAGTTAAAAAGATTTTTACTTTTATCCTATTTTAAATAATTTGAAATCCTAATTTTACTTTCCCAGCACCCATCCACGGAACTCTCTTCCCCTTTCCCCATTTTCGTTTCACCTCCCCACCTCCCGCACTTCCATTCCTTTTTCATCCCAGTTTTTTATTTTGGTTTAAAAGCTTCCATTGTCGCCGTGGTGTGAAGGAGCGTCGCCGCCGTGGTGTGGAGGAACATCGAGGAGCGTCCAGAGCATCAACCAGCGTAAGGAAGTATACATCAACGGAGGTGACATCTTCAACTGATGTCAACATCCGTTTAAGGTAAAACGGATGTCGACATCCGTTTTTCCTTAAATGGATGTCGACATCTGTTTTTCCTTAAACGGATGTCGACATCTGTTGAAGGATGTCACCTCTGTTTAAAGGTTACGTTTTTTATTTTAGGGTTTGTTTTATTAGTTTATTTTTTATTTTGAAAATATTTTAATAATTTAATTTAAATGTTTTGATTTATTATTTTTGAATATATTTTTAATGTATTTTAATAATGTAAGAAAAATGAAGAAGAAAGAAAGGGAGGAGGAGAAGTGAAACGAAGAAGACAAATGAGATTGTAGAGTAAAACAGAAGACAAATTGTTAAACGTAAATGAGAGATGGAAAGATTGGGTGCACGGAGTAAAGTATGAAAACTAGGTTTAAAATAAATTAAAATAGTAAAAGTAAAAAATTTTAATCTGAGGATATAATTGAAATTAAAGAAAATTGGAGAGGTAGAGAGAAAAAGGTGTGGTGATGGAGGGAGCAATACAACTTGACATTTTTTTTAACTTTTTCGTCTGATGTTGCACTCCCTATTTTCTTTTTCTTTGTCTGCGTTGAAATTAGTCAAGATCCTCAATAAATTTTAAAATTCATTTGAAATCTGTTAAAAACTTTAACAAATTTCAAAATTTATTAAATAAAAAGACGTTTAAAGGATTTCAAAATCACTTTTAATGAATTTTCAAATTTGTTAACAGGTTTCGAAATTTATTAACCATTTGTTTTTCAAATCTTTTTTCAAATTTTGTAAATAATTTTTATTTATTTTAATTTAATAAAATATATTTTAAAATATTAAAATGTTAATATATATTAAATTAAATATTTATTAATTTTTAAATTTAAAATAAAATTTTGAAAACTACAATAAACAGATTTGGAATTTCGCTAACACGTATTAACGGATTTCAAAATCCATTTTACATATTTTTTTTTTAATTTTTATTTAAAATTTAAAAAATATTTAGTTTAAATAATGTTTTAATATAATTTAATATATCTTAATATTTTAATATTTTTACATATATTTTATTCAACTAAAATAAATAAATAAAATTTGAAAAATTAAAACAAAGTATAAAAAAAAATTAAACAAGTAATAATGATGTTAACGGAAACCCATTTAAGATGTTTATTTAAATTTTCTTTTTAATTTAATTTTTAATAAATATTTAGTATAATTTAGTATTTTAATATAATTTAATATATTTTTATATTTTAAAATATATTATATGTAACACCTCATTTTAATAGTAAAAAACTACCAAAATGTGATGTTAAATAGCAAATAACTTATCAGAAACTTTTCAAAACTATTGAGAAAGGAGATCCTACACTTGGAGAATAAATTATATCTATGTTGCTGCTTCACCCTCTTCTTCATGATGAGACGACTAGAGAAAAACTCTTCCCTAAGCTCACACCATTTAAGATGATCATTGCAAAAAAGAAACATACACAGACAAAAACAAGGGTAAACTAGTATGAAAATAAGCATCGCATAATATTTAAATTGTCATATATATATATATATATATATATATATATATATATATATATATATCACTACTCAACCCAAGAGATTTACACTATGTAGGATCACACAACAACCATAAACCTGACTCATCGAATATACTATGAATGTCAAGCTATAACATGTTCTGTTCTTTGTGTGGTGGAACAACTAACCCCCTTTAGCTACCACACAAGGTTAGTCCGTTAAAATACCCTTTGCCAGATGAAAAAAACCCCCAAGCTAGGACCATGGTGGGTTTCGCACTTGTGTGATGGAATAGCTGACCCACTCAAAGCTGTCACACAAGATTAGTCCGTTAAAACGTCTTTTGCCAGATGAAGAAAGACCCTCAGGCTAGGACCATGGTGGGTTCTGCACTTGTGTGGTGGAACAGCTGACCC